TCCCGGCCCCCGGGGTGGGGGAACCGGGCGAGGGGGAGGGAAAGGCAAACAAAGCGGGGAGCCGCGCCTTGCAGTCAGGCACGCTGCAGGACCGGGGGGACCGACGTCCCCCACCCGGAGCCGGGGGACTTCCCCGGGAGGGTCCTGGCCGCTGTCCCTCCGTGACCGGGGTTTCCTGGCCGGCCCCGGAAGGCGCGCAGCCCCCCCGCAGTCTCCCCACTGTAGACGGGATGAGATTTTATATTGGAAATGAGGGGCAGGGGGAGGAGATGGAGCTCACACGGAGAGATGAGTGTGCGGTGTCAATCAGAGGGGTTTTGTGTCTCCTTGACTCCTGATGGTCCGTGGCTGAGGTGTCCCGGGTGGCACCACAATGAATATGAATAGGGGTCCTTGCTAAATGGGACAGTCAAAGCGCACCGCCCTGAATAATGGCACGTCATCCTAACTAGACCATTATACATAGGAGGGCTCCTTTTGTCTCTGCTCTCTGCTGCAGCTCTATAAAAGCCCCTCTTTTGCAGGCTGAGGTTAGTCCAAGCATACACTAACTAGCCATCCTGTAAACAGGCTGAGTAACCAGGGGAAGAGAGAGAGAGGGGGGAGAGATTGGTGAGAAAGAGGGCTGAGGGGCTTTTTTCCTCATCCTCCAGCATTTCCAGCCCTTCGCTGGCAGAGCCTGCAGTCCGTTTATTTCTTTTTCGTTCTGTTTTCATTGTTTTTTTGAAGGAGCGTTGTCTTGTTCCACCACCTCCAGAGCAGGGAAGAGTTTATTGCTCAGAAGCCCGAATACAATGAATTCTGACTCCAGCTCTGTCTCCAGCAGAGCTTCCTCGCCAGACATGGATGAGATGTACCTGAGAGAACACCACCACCACCATCACCACCATCACCACCAAGACAGCCGGCTCAACTCCGTCTCCTCCACCCAGAACGACCTCGTGCAGAAGATGTCCGGGGAAGGCCTCTCCAGGAACGGTTCCAAGGCCGGAGGGGAAGGCAGCAAGTACAAAATCAAGAAGCAGCTCTCGGAGCAGGACCTGCAGCAGCTGCGGCTGAAGATCAACGGCCGGGAGCGTAAGAGGATGCACGACCTTAATCTCGCCATGGACGGGCTGCGGGAGGTGATGCCCTACGCCCACGGACCTTCCGTGAGAAAACTCTCCAAAATAGCCACCCTCCTGCTAGCCAGAAATTATATCCTGATGCTTACCAGCTCCCTGGAGGAGATGAAGAGGCTGGTGGGGGAAATCTACGGGGGGCACCACTCGGCCTTTCACTGCGGCACGGTGGG